AGATTGCAGCTAAGTTGCTGTTCAAAGTGGAATTAACTTTGCTTCCTTTCTAGTTAATCAGATAGCCTTTGTAAATTTTCAAGTAATTATTGTGTTTGAATTGATTAAATGGTTGAAGTTTGGTTTAAAATAAGTAACTTTTTATACTTAATTCATCTTCTTTATTTATTAGCTCACTTCCCTTATTTCTTAGTGTTCATTTGAGAAATGGTTATGTTGGTGGTGAATATTGTACAGCATAAGAAGCCTTAGGTGTGTGTTTCTTTAATGAATTTCCCACACAGTACTTAAAATTATTAGTTCTGGAGTCTGAATGGCTTAGGGCAAGATCATCAAATATTCAGCTTTTCCATGCCTGGCTACCAGCTCTAAAAGTGGATGTGGATTTTTGCCAGGACCGTCTTTGGGCATACGCCGCATACATAGTGGTGCAGAGCACCACTAAATGTAGTAGTGCCCTATGCTGCATATGCATAGACTTGCTAAATCGAATGCTGAGGGCACCTCCGTCGTCGCAATACTCCTCGCAAGGGAAATCAACGGATGAGTTTCTCCTTCTCCCTTGGATCTGCCCCAGAAAATCGATGCAAGGTATATCAACTCCCACTATACAATTCACATAGCTGGAGTTGCATATTTTACATTGTGTTTCTCGACCAGTGTAGGCCTGGCCTCAGATGAGATGCAAGTTTATGTGGCACAATTAATTAAAAGTACAAATAAAGCTCCATAAACATTAAAAAGCCTTTTTGGAAACAGATCATGATTTATAGTCCCAATGGAGGAAGTGAATGATTATTTATCTAGCTATTTCTGACAATCCTGTAATATTTTTCATCAGAATGAAAGTTGTTTTCCTATTTTGTATGCGAGCGTGAGGTCCAGAGCGCTCTGCCCTTGTGTTGTGATTTTCCCTTCCCCCTCTTTCTATTACAAGAAAGTGTCACTTTCTTGTTTAGGCAAGAAAAATGTATGAGATAAAACTTGTGTTTAGGAAGGATTTTAATCTCTAATGTATATAAAAAAGTGTAATGTTGGCAGAAAACTGTAAATCTTGCGTATGTCTTTCTCTAGATTGATTTTATGTAAGCTAGAGTGAAGATCTTGCCACTCATACTCAGTGATTATACAGAATGTTAGTGTATATTAGACATTTTGATATACTGTATTAAGAATACAATTTATATCTTCTCTTCTGTTTGTGAATTGCATTTGTTAATCAGTCTTAATCTGAGATGTATTGTCAATACATGAAATCCGTTGTTTCTGTGAGGAGTTATTCACTTGATATTATTTCCCTGAGTGCATACGTCTTCTACGGTAGAAATGGTTACAAATCTGCTATTCCATCATCTGATGATAAAAGCCTTCATCCAGAAATGCCAGGTTTGACGATTTTATTGACTGATATTTAGGAGTCCCCCCCCCCCCCCCCAAACCCCCCTCTTCTGCATGAGACACACAAGTTTCTTTTTTGGGGGAAAAAAATCACTTGTAATTCTGATCCTCCTGCACCTTAAGGACTCAGAAACTAGAAGTCAAAAACAAATTAAATGCATATTTATTATTTTAAAAAATCCTTAATTGGGGGGGAGGAGTCCTTTCTTGTGATTTTTGAAAATTTGAGTACTTACACCTGTTAATTTATATATCTTAGACACACAAGTTTCTTTTTTGGGGGAAAAAAATCACTTGTAATTCTGATCCTCCTGCACCTTAAGGACTCAGAAACTAGAAGTCAAAAACAAATTAAATGCATATTTATTATTTTAAAAAATCCTTAATTGGGGGGGAGGAGTCCTTTCTTGTGATTTTTGAAAATTTGAGTACTTACACCTGTTAATTTATATATCTTCCATATTCCCAAGCCTGTCTTGAGTGTGAGAAACACTGGTATAGATCTTCAAATATTATCCTTCTGCTCCTATTTTACATGCTTTAATCAGTGAAATAATTAACAATGCTGACATTTTAAATGACCATAATTGGCCTTTAATTAAATGCTCATGACTAAGGCAAGTACTGCTTAAAAGCTATTTTTACAGGCTTTCTGCAAACTCAGGAAGATATTCCTGTGCGTGTTACCCTCCATATTTTGAAGACTTGCTACCATAAGAGAGACATTTTCTGAAAGCTTAAATTCTGGAGAACAATTCAAGAGGTCTGTCAGTCTGCCTCCCCTCTGCATATGGGCCATGTTTAACACTCTGGGAAATACTGGTTTTAAAATACATTACTTCCATATTTATTCCTGACTGTATTGATCATTCAGGAAAAGGTCCCCAGAAAGGAGGTGGAAGCACAAGTCGAATGAGATAAATGTTTTCCTGAGTGAATATGTATATTAATTGTTTTGAGGTAGTCACCCAGCTCAGAGTCTAGAAGGACAGAGAATTTATTCTCCTTTCAAGAACTACCCTCTTGTTCATAATAAAACAAAGCTCCAACACAGTTTTTGCATCCTGCATGGCTGTTTCATGTATTTCCTTGATGTAAAATGAAGTGTAATTAAATCTGTGGATGATACCAAAGTTAGAGAGAGGTAGGAAAGAGAAAAGAACTAAGCCAACCTTTTCTGCATTATCTCCATTGAGCTGGTAGGGGGAGGAGGTGAGTGGGTGTCCTTGTCCCTCCCTGTTGCCAGCTTGTCCACATGGCAAAAGACTGTGACAGACAAAAATTGATTCTGTTACACTCAAGTGTATTGTGAAACCAAAAAACCAATCATGCCTCTCCTGCAGGATTGCATCCCACTCCTCTTCGAATATATTTCCACCTTTCTATAGCTCTTATGCTGCAGTACGTAAGAGCCAACCTGGATTCTCACTAGTGTTCCTTGTAAACTGTATGCTTAGGCAGCTATCAAGAGGAGAATCAAATGCTGCCCAGCTGATTAGTAGAGCACCCACAGGTGGCAGCATGTATTTATATTGGTGGTGCACATTACAACATGGATTGGTGCATATAACAACATTTATTCCACACTTGGATAGAAGACATTAAAGGGAATATTCATTGGGACTTATAAACCCCAGCCATGGGTGCTCCAGACAGCAGTGGCCAGGGGATATTGCTGACAGCAGTGAGCAGTGATGTTTCTGGGGATGTACATCTGTACTTCTTGACTTTCCTGTGTGCATCATATCACATCCTGTGTCTTAAGGAACCAGATTGGGATTTAAGACAATGAGTTCACATCTTGCCTCTACCACAGATTTCTTGTGCGACTCTAGGCACATAACTTTAATGTTTTTTGTGCTTTAGTTTCCCATCTATAAAATGGGTATAATACTTCTTTTCCCCACCCTTTATTGTATTGCCTGTTTAGAATGCAGGCTAGTCCAGGCAGTGAGTGCCTCTTGCTACGTACACACAAAGCAAATGGATACACCGTGCTGACCACAAGATGGCTACTGAGTGACAATGAGGGCAGGGTCCAGAAAGAGAATTGAAGTGCTGGCCTAGAAAAAGTATCCGATGGCAAAGCTGATTTAATTAGAGCCCAACTGTTCCATTATGAGTTGCTTCCATGGAACCAATCACTGTGATTGCTATAGGGAAATTGAGTAATGTTGGGTGGGAGGGAAGGTACCTCCAACAGTGTCTGAATCCAAATAAGTGATCCACAAAATGAAACAGTTCAGCAATTGCTGCTCTGTAGTGATCCCCTCTGGCAGATGCATGGAGTAGCGCTGATGAAAGCTAGCAGAATCTGCCTGTAACTCTCCTGTAGCAGACCCAGAGATGGCCTCATTTGAGGCCTATGATGAGGGAAATAGAGCAGACGTTTTCTGAATTGCTAAGTAATCATTCTGGTTAAAGTGATACATTTTGGGTGGAAATTTATCAGAAAGTCACATAAGCCTTAGTGCCATTAAAATGAGCAGGGCAGTAGCAAGGGAGAGTGAGGAGTTGCCATAGGCTTACTCAAAGAGAACATAGTGATTGGGATATGAATTATCTTAGCACCCAAATCACAAAATTCTTGAAGCAGAACAGGCTACAATTACCCTTGGCTGCACAGGGATTAAGAATGAGATTGACAATTTATATAATAGCTCTGCCATGGAAGTATTGAGCTCCGATAGCATTACTACTTTTGCAATTGTGTTCAGCCTAGGAAAGAACAGTAATTGAATATTATCAGATTGTAAATGGATGAAATGTTGAACCGAGAATCCTGAGCTATGTGAATTATGTCATCCTTTATTGCTGAGGCCCTAGGAGCTGCTAATGCAGCATGTGAAGGGGGGTTGCTCCTGTGATTTATTAGCAGGTGGTGTGTGTTTGATTTGTATGATGCCGATTTTTACATGTGGCATTGCAGAAAGATTGCACTGTGAGAAGCCAGGAGGGAGATGAGCACTGCTATTAGAAGGAGCTGCTTGTGTGAATACTGCATTTAGAATGTGTAACTTCATAGACCCAAATGTTTGTAATTGGATTGGCCTGGGACTTCTGGGGGAGGAGGAGGCGAAAGGGTTCTGGAAACAGGTAGCAAGTGAGTGAGGGGCTCTTGTGACTACCTGGGGAATGTACCTGCGATCTTTGTTCTTTTAAAAAGCAGAGGCAGGTGTGGCAAGATGAAGGGTTTTTTTCTCAGGTGTGCTTAGAGATCTAATAGTATAGTATTATGGGGGGCAGGGAGGGTGTGGCAGGCTGTTTTGATCTACCTTCAGTGATTATTTTTGCAAGTGAATTACTAACATTTCTGCTCCTATGAGCCTTTATGAACAAGAGGTATGATTGGGCTTCTCTTGCAGTGGAAGGTTGCCTCTTCTCTCCTGAGCCTAGACCTTAGCGCCCAAGGCAACTTTGATTTTGCACCGAATGCTCTTTGGTTTCTTGTCTCTTTAGGCGGCACACAGCATTAAACCGAAGCAACCGGCACTGACGCGGCTCCTGCTTTTTTAAATAACTGCTGAGATTTTTTTTTTCTTCTAGTTTGGTTCCCAGGTCAGTTTTACACCCTCTTCCCCCCCGCTCTCGGATTGACCACTTCACGAGCTGCGTTGCCTTTGTACTTGGGAGGTGGCAGGGGTGCTCTCTAGGACCCAGCGAGCTGCCCCCGAAGCAGCCTGCAGAAAGGCAGCTCAGCAGACTCCTCCTTATCTCCAGTGTCAAACTTGACATCAGCCTGCAAGCGGAGCATGGTAACTTCTCCTGCAATCAGCGCTCTCACATCAGTGGCATGCTGCATGAAGATATGCTCCTCTCCCTGCCCTCTGCACCAGCAACATGGATTGTCACGTCTCCATCCTCCTCCTTGTAATCTGCTCTGCCCGCAGCTGCTTAGGGGACCTGATTCTCCATCCTACAAACGAAGGTGAGTAAACCGGGCACAGCCCGGAGATCCCACAGTGGCTTCACTTTTCCTCCCCTCAACGTTCGGATCCTGTTTGAAACCGGGTTCGCATCCCTTTTTTTAAGGTGGTCCAGCGCGATAATTCCCTGTGCCGCGGGTGGACCGAGATCGGTTTGGATCTGGGAGAGGGGAGGGGCGGAGTGGGCAAAGACACCCTTTAAAATCGGAGGATGGCAACTGGGACAGTTATAATCCTCCTTCGCCATGCAAAAGGGACAGCAGTTTGCACAAGGCGGCGTGTGAATTCACACCCAGGGGCGTTCGCTTTCTTCTCAGTAGTCCTGGGTGCACAAAGTTTAAAAACCAGAAAACGTCGCCGCGCTTGTGTGAACAGCTCTCTCTTCGGGGGTGATGACATGTGGTGGTGGTGACCGTGACCCATGACACAAGTAAAAGGAGCTTGGTCGTTAGATGGAGGGGAACAGAGCACATCTGTGCGCGTTTCTGTAGTGGCTGATTTCACAGACTAGGTGGAAGTTTATTACATCTCACAAGGTGCTCCGTGGTACAGGTTTTAATGAGCGTCAGTGACGCTAAGGGGAACCGTCATTGTAATGACCAGCATAGTGTGTCTGTCTGCATACAATTATTTGTATAGAACGTTTTTATTCTGTTTTGGATAGCCCAAAATCTCAAGAAAGAAAAGGAAGGAAAGGAAAATGTAGAGCATTTGATGTTTTCTTCCATTGAGGTTACATTTTAAATGTCTTTCCAGCTACACAATTACCAAACTGATCTTACGGTTTCTTTACAATTAATGCATGGGATATAACTGATATATTAAGTTATAACTTAGTTGCCTAATACTTTTTTTTTTGTATCTAATGTAAATAATTTCTAAGTATCTTAGAAAATTACCTTATAGCACCTGTCCTTTTCAGGAAATTATTTCCTGACTGGTAACTAAACCACAAACCCTGCATATATGCATAGCTGTAGTAATATAATTAGTCTTATTTTATTTCACTTCAGAAATTTAATTGTAAGGAAAAGCAACCAATAGTGCTGCTCCTTTTAGATAACCTGGAACAATTTAAAACCAGTCTTTAACTTAAAAGAGTTATGAGAAAATTCCCACATAAGGTGTTGGAAAATAATTCTTTTTAGCCTTTGCTAAGTTAACATGTGACATTCAGTGATTAAAACACACTGATTTCAGCAAAATAATTATACTCACTGGACAGTCATTCTAGAAAGCTAATTTAAAATCTTTGTTGAAAACGACCTGGCTAGCCATTCCCCATGGATAAAAAGAGGTGATTTTCCTGCTTATAACACACTGGACACAGAGATCAGTGTGTCCAAAGACACTTTTATCTATAAAATCCCGAGGTCAAAAGGTTATGAAGAACTTCTAGCAGCAAACAATTGTACAGACCCTAATACACCTGCTTGATGTATAGTATTGCATAGTCAAGAAAATATAAGAGCTATTAAGATAATTATTTGTTGGTGCCCAAGTAACACTGGTGAGCTAAATGATGTCCTAAATGTCTTTGGGGTAAGGCAATTTCAGAGTAGAACTATTATTATTTGTTTTTATGTGAAAGGGGAAAATAATCAAGGAACCTTGAAAAATCCAAGTAATTCTTACATCAGCTCTTTTTATTGCTGGGAAGAATCAGTTATACAAAGTTATAAAAATATAGAGCAGCTGTTTTTATATATATGTCTGTAAACATTTTTCATATGGAGAATGCTTCAAAGCACTGAAGCCACTTTCAAAGTGTTATGCATAGTCACTAACAACATGCTATTTTATCATTAGTGTTGCCCTTTGCAAATGAATTTGGCTAATAAAAACAAGCATGTTAGTGGGGGCTACTTTGCTGGTGTGTGGTGTGTTTTGTAATAATAATAATAATAATAATAAAAGATTCTTTGCAAAGTATGTTGCTTGGTTAGGCAGTCAGCAGAGCAGCTCCGCTTCCATGACACTGGCAGACAGACAATAATATAAACTAAGATAGGAAGTAAAACAAAAAAACTTTTGAAAACTTTGAAGTTTGCTAAAACAGCACTACTTTTTCTTTTGTTGACCATTGTGGGCTGTGAGATTTAACATAAAAAAGTTAGGGAAGGTGAGGGGAAAAAACTCCTATGCAATATGAAATGCGCACTAGGCGTAGCTGTCCAAAGATGTTTCTAATGAATCAGAGACGTATGTTTTTAACTGATCCAGTTTGATTTTAGTTTTATTATCATTAGTTTAAAAATCTTGCACAAGATACATTATGAAATAGATGTAATGTCTTCTACACAGCCAATGTAAGTGACCAAAAAAAAAAAAAATGGAGAGCAGCGTTAAGTATTTATTCTTCCAGATTGAGTATTATTTTCATATTCCTTTCCCAAAATGGAGGTTTCTTCTAAAAATAAAACTAGTTTTAAATAATTTAACATTTGTGGTGATTTAGGAAGGATTGAAACAGTGTTTTTTGTGTTTGTTTACTGTAAATGTATGTGGATATAGTCAATTTAAGCACTTGAATTTTTATAATTTAATTTATAATTATAATCAGGTTTCACACACATATTTGACAATCCATTGTTGACATGCAGGTTAAAAATGTAAGCTCAAAAAGGTTTTGCTTCTTTTCCCTTGAAATAATTGTCTTCTGACAATCTTTCTTCTTCCTCATCCCTTTGCCCTAAATTTCTGCCACCCCTCAAAAAAGGAAAAGTTAAGGGAAAATATATGATTGCATAATTTTGTAATAACTGTTTCGAAAAGTTTTCTTTTTCTGCATGGGCACGAAAAAACTTTAATAATTTTAACCATGAACTTGGTCAAGGGGTGTGTCTGTGTATGCCAGCCTCGATAAGTGGATAGAATATATGTGAGTTATTTAAAACTTAATGTGAATTAACCAATTAATTTCATATCATGAAATACAATCCAAGTTGTTTTACAGTTACTGCTACTGAACATCGGGTATATTGAGGGTAGTTTGTAGACAAGCCCCAAAAAATTACCAAATTTATTTCATCTGGAAGAATTGTAGAGATTTTTGTGAAAACATTTTAATGCTAAAACGTTGAGTACAGTATATGACACTTACAGCCAATAGCAACATTGCAACAGCAGAGAAAATAGTAATCGTTACATGTCGGTTTACTTCATTTTTAGTTGTTAAATCCAATTTGGGTTTTCTTGTGAGAGAGATGGAACATATGGTACTTTGCAACACCGCCAAAAGTTTTATTTAAAATAAACTGTTCTTTTATGGAAACAGGTAATTTTTATTAAACTTATTTCTTAAGGAATCTGCCACATGCTGGGCGTTTATTTTTTTAAACCCACACATTTCTTGGCCCTTAAATGATCTCAGTAGTCCCAAAAGAAGCTTTATCAATGTACAGTAGTGAAGAGTGAAGCATTTTTTGAGTACAGTAATAGGAACCGTCAAGTAGAGTTAACATCTGAATGAGTGGATCATTCCCCATTTTAGGGTTGACATCAATTTTCATCACACAAGCAGAAATTTTAGGTTGAGAACGTGCCATACTCTTCAAGTCCATAGAAATGACAGACACTATTATTTCAATTGGAACTAGAATTTTTTTTTTCTTTTGGAGGATTACAATTTTTCACTTAGAGAGATGCAGTTTCTTTCAAAACAGTTTATATAATATCCAGAAATTGAATGAGTTATTCAATTCTGTAATTTAATAGTTTTTTCTGATCCTTTTCAGTAACTTATGCTATTTGCCTGAGGGTACCAGCAACCTTAATTTCACTGTTTTATAACCCACAACAGTTAACACTTGACCTGGGTCATTAACAGGATTATCAGCAAATTTGTTTAAGCTTTTACTGACAACCTGAATTGCTTCAATAATATTTTGACTGTGCAGACAGGAAACTTCTTTTAACATCTCAATCTAGCATAAAATTAATTTCTTATGAAAAGGATTTAAAAAAGAGGGCCAATATTGTAAATCTGTTTATGGTAGTGAGATACAAATACTCTCAATTTTGGTAAACAGTAAACAACATGCAATCAGTCCGTCTTTCCAGTGCAGATGAAATTTCCATGATGTGGTTTCATGTTTTTCTCATTCATTTCCATCTCAGATCTTTGCACAACTCAGCAAGTAAATTATATAGGTTTGCAGGGCTATTGATGTGAATATTTACTGTTTTTAAAGAGTTATTAACATTAATGTGTTTTCTAGCAATGTCAGCTATTGCATTTTTAAAAATGCCGGTGTTGTACATGCAGTGGCATGTACCACTGACTTGTGCATATATTTTTATGTTTTGTTTTAGTGCCATTAGAAATGTTGAAATTCTGGAAAGTTTTCTACAGCAATGAAAAAGAATCATACTGGGAAATCTCCTTAAAAAAAGCATTATCTTATTCGGAGTCACCTATTATTAGATCATTACCAGTTTTGATGTATCATGACATGATTCCTGAAGCATTTAAAGTTCAGCGACTTTTAAGTCTGAGAGTTTAATTGCAAAATAGTGTAAATAAAGGTAGGCATCTTAACAAGTAATATATTGTCTTTTTAAAGTTGGAATTCGAAAGATTTAAACTGGTGAAGTTTAAAGAGCTATTTTTGTATAGCTGTATCTTATTTAAAGGTGCTGTGTTTGGCTATACAGTCAGACAAGAAATGAGCATGCTTAAATACTCACACCATGGTGTTTGTAAAATGTGGTATTTTGGATGGGGAGGAGGGGGAAATTGACTGGATTGTTTATTTTGTATGTCCATATCTACTCAGATATTTTAAGACTTTGAATAATTTGTTTTCCTTCTGTTTGTCACTTTGATTCTTTCCTGGAATAACACTATTCCATTGCAATGTGCTAAAAGGAAAAAAAAATTAGATGCTTCTTAAAAATTAACTTACAATGGTTGAAATAACAAAACATGTCCAAAGATAAGATTCTTGTCAAAAGTTATGTATATAATTTCTCCTGCTGGGCTAATCTCCTTCCAAGTGAA